GTGGGGTAAGAGGGTTTCAAACAGCCTGCAACAGGTTTGTTTTCACACATTTTTCTAAAGAATATGTCTATATAAAACAACTGCTTGCCTAGTATCTACAAAGTGGAACTCAGCACTGAGAACAGGATCACAAACTGTAGCAGAATTGCATGCAAAGCTTAATATACTGAAAAGGAGGCCTCCTTACCTCATTTGAAATGTGTTGGGTTTAACTTCAACAATACTGCTCTCTCTCTCTTTCTTTCCCTTCCGTGGTGAAGAGTTTCCACTGGTGCTATTATACTCAGAAAGCTCGAGGACACACCTTCTGCTTGGCTATTTGTGGATAAGGGGAGGAGCGATCCTTGAAATGCATGGAGTGCGAGGCTTTCCACACCCTGCAATAGAATTATAATACAGAATGCAAAATTAACGGAATTATGTCGTGCATAATCACTTGACTCTTTACTCATCTTTCAGGTTTTTCTAGTTTAGGGCACTGCTTTTACTCTTGCTTAAGTATGGTTGCATAAGTGTCTGCAACAAAGCAAAATAGTTTTAAATCATTAAGTTCAAAGGTCTTTTCAAATTCCAGCAAAGCTACTGATTCATCGAAAAGACTTAAATAAATATTGTTTATTCGATACGAAATATGTAGCTGTGCATGTTATTCACACCTTGCGAATTTGTTGAATAAACATTTTGTCTAATTTAATCATGCGTTCAATAACCAACAAATGTGCTACTAGTTGCATTTAACACATTTTAAGTAGCCTACATTCTACAGATTTTCACTTAAACATCATCACGGAACATACAAACTCGAACAGTAGACGCAACTGTCGTTTTATACAGAAGAAAAAACGTTCTGCACTTTAAAAGTCGGGTTATTTGACCTTAAATAAGCCCAGTTTTAATAGAACAAAAATCGGTGTCCAACATTATAATTATAACCTAAAACGCATGTAAAGTGATTGTCTGCACACGTGACTGCTGATTTGTCAGGCGATGGCGCTGCTTCTCCTCTGTGACGTATTTGTTTCAGAAGTTCTGCTTTATTCATCTGTTCTGCAAAGAGTTATTGCAGCTAAAATTCTATTTGCAGTGGGTCTTGCAAGTTTTGTCGGTTTGTTATTAAAATCAGTTTTTAGCCTTTTATGTCCTTGAAAAACAAATTACAGGTATAAATTATAAATTACAGGTACGCCTATACACCATCTTTAGAATAAATGATTGCCTTCACTTGTGGAATTTCATGTAATTTCGCTCAATCTGCGTTTTCAGCATATGTCTTTTTGGTGAAGAACATGGCCTCTGGGAACATGATGAAAACAGAGGTGTCGGTCGCTGCTTCTTTCATCAGGAGATTACTGAGCAGCAGCAGCAGCAGCAGCAGCAGCAGTGACTCTCTGACTGGAGATCAGCTGCAGATCTTCACTCACACACTCACTGATGCTCTGCTGGGTGAGATTAGATGATGGTCTGACCTGCTCTTCTTTACTAATTGAGTAGCTATTCATTCCTCATAAAATGACACCCATGTTTTGATTAATTTCAACTGATCATTTTCTCCCAGAAAAGCTGATTTTATTTAGGCTATTTAAGATCTTGATTTCATCATCATTAGCCTACAGTTATAGGCCTATATTTTTTGTATTTTCAAAATACTCTTTTTTGAACATTGGTGACATTCTTTCTTTTTTTGTATGACCAGTGTTGAGGGTAACGCATTACAAGTAACGCGAGTTACGTAA